TAAACCAAATTCTGCTTGAAAACGTCACAATTGTCATCCTCCACCTTGCATACGATCAAGAAGAGATCGTTCTCACTTCCTCTGAGAAAGTACTGGTGGAAAGCATGGAACTCTTCCTGTCCAGCCAGGTCGCAAATGAGCAGCTTTTGTTTGGTGGTCGCATAGACAAGTGGTTGCAGCTCAATGCCTGCTGTTGAAGCATGCCTTTGGAGACATGATGGAAACCAAGACACTCTGCGGCAGAGGTTTTTTTTTATTGTGGTCTTTCCAACCCTGCTAGCACCACACAAGAAGAGCTTTGCTGTTGACGGGTTGTCAAAGTCTTTGAATGCACTCTGCTGGAAGATTGCATTCCGCTCTAAAAGACCAGAACACCTCTGCTTGAAAGCTTCAGAAGCTTCGGAATCATTGCCTAGATCAAGCTCTTCCACGAGGCTTTGGTAGTTTTCCTCCAGGGCAGCCAGAATTTGTCTCTTCTGTGCATCACTTGTAAGAAAAGGAGCCCTGAATCTGCGCACCTTGCATTTTGCATCCCCCAGCAACCGGCAAAGATCTTCCAGGTTTTCAATTTCTGACTTAAATTGAATATGTAAGTCTTCAATGCTGCTTCCCAAAAGGCACCTCCATGGCAGCTCCCAGTGACATGACAAAGTCAAAGCTTTCAGAGACTTGCAGCTGGTGATAGCTTTCCAAAAGGGCTCCCCATTCGTGATTTTGCACTCCGATATACCCAAATGCTCCAGTTGGCTCTTCTCTATGCCCTCGGCAAACTCCAACGTTAACTCATCTTCTCCTCCCGCGCTACCCCATATTTCCAAATGGCGCAGCTTACAATGTGGACTTGAGAGAGCTGACCACAGACTGCTGTCCCAGACCATTCCTCCTCCCTCGTTGGGACAATCAAGGTTGAGCTTGATCAGCTTGCAATTGGGATTTTGTAGCGCTTTGCCCAACCATCCACCACCATCACCTGGATAAAGTGGAACGCAGAGTTCCTCCAAGCCACACTTAGCGCTGCTCAGGGCCTCACCCAGGCCCGTTGCATTGCTCAGGTCCTCACTTCGGCAACCTAAAACTGACAGGCTGGTGCCCTCCTGAAGAGCCTTGCATACCCATGGCAACACTCCAGGATCAGTTTCCCAAGATAGGTATAGTCTTTGCAGCGAACAGCTTGGACTCGTGAGTGCCTTGAAGAGTGCTTCACCTGCCCCCTCTGGAAACGATGCCGTCAGTTTTACTAGCTTATTGCAAATGCCATTCTGAAATGCCTGTTCCCACCCTTCCTTGGCAATGCCCTCATCGTCGAAGATGACTAACTCTTCCACCTTGCACTCCTGACTTGCCAGATCCCTACTCAATTTCCCAAATCCTTCCACTGTCATCCTGTTCCCCAGCAATTCGAGACGTTTCAAGTTGTTTCCTGCTTTCCTAAGGAGTTGGCTAAGGAGAGTCTCTGGGTTCCCAACCTTGTCCAACACGAGCTCTGTCAAGCAGTCGAGCTGAGCAAAGGCCAACTCAAGCTCCTGAGGTGGTGTGAGGATGTCTTCGCTTCGCCAATAGAAATCTAGCCCTTTCAAGACCTTGAATTCCTCTGTCATCGTCAGTAGCTTTGCAAACCTCTGCATCTCAATCTGGAGAATATCCTGTCCCTGCTGAGGAGGAGCAATGCCCTCTGCCACCCTTTGCATTCGATCACTGGGAATGCCCAACCTACAAGCGACCCTGGCAGCGAAGTGGATGAATCTGATGTCGAGCTGTGGTACCAAAGCGGCCTTGAGAATGTCAATGTGAGCAGCAGCAGCAGCAGACGAACTGCCATCTCCCACATCCAGAGCCCTGTCTAACCAGCGTGGTCTTGAAATGCAGCAGTTGAGCACACCAATCAGATCCTCCTCTGTGCCTCCAAACCTCTCGACGGTAGCACTCACCTCATCAACAAACTCACCTTTGGATGAGTGAAGCCTCTCCAAGATCTCCCCACAAGTAAACATAATCGCATCGAAGTGCCGCTTGTTGTCCCGCTCCGCTGCGAGAGCCTCCTTGATCTCCTTGACAGAGTCACAGCCGATCCACACTCGTCGCTCCTCCTCCATGGAAGTTTGCCCTAGATCGAGTGATCATGAGTAAACTTCTCCCAGCTGTGGATAAGAAAGTAAGCACGAGTTAGTTTAGGGTTTAGAACAGATAAAATGGGGAAGAAGGGGAAAGGGAAAAGAGAAGACCGAGCGAGTTCGTCGCCACGACAAGGTGTTAGACGAGGATGATATCGATGCGATCTTGGTAAGCAATCTCTGGCCTCTCAATTGTTTTCCTTTTTGTCAGGCGAAACTCCACGAGGAGGAAGCAGAAATTCATGTCGATGAGAATGTAGCAGCTCCTTCACCACAATGCAATTGCTCTGTGCGTAAGAATTCGATTGAAATCTCCACTCTGGAAGCTCACATTCTCTAGACTTCTTTTCTTGCGTTTCAGGTGACTGTAAATCCAGTCAAGGACACTGAGCTGATCGTCTATGGAGGTGAATACTAACAACGGTGACAAGGTTTGTGGTTAGTTTCGCTACGGTGATTTGATCTTCGTGTTTGCTATGCTAGACTTTACGTTTATGGTGATGTCTACCGATACAACATCGAGAAGAACGAGTGGAAGCCTGTCACCAGTCCAAACTCTCCTCCCCCGAGAAGCGCTCACCAGGGGGTTGCGTGGAAAACTGGCTCTTCAGTTTTGGTATCCAGGACTTCTCTTGATTTTGGCAGTGTAGGTGGTGAATTCGGTTTCATCACTATAAGCTGTGTTTCTAGCTGACTTACAAGAGAGTTCTTGCAGGATTTATGGAGACTGGATTTAAACACAAATATGTGTGGCTGGAGCAGCTTCAAACTAAAAGGCTGTCCAGGTGCTCGTTCCGGACATAGATTGGTATGTATTGCACTTCTAAACATAATCTTTATTTTTTTCTTTCTTGCCACAGAAACATAAACTTATTCTATTTGGTGGATTTTATGACACGCTGAGGGAAGAAAGGTCGGCTGTTTCAGCAGTGTAGATGTTTAGTATTGAATTTTTGACACAGGTACTTCAATAATCTTTAAGTGCTGGATTTAGACGATTATAAGGTTTGTTTCTGTCGCTCATCGTTCTTCCTTGTTTTTTAACAACTAAACTGATTTCCTTTTGCAGTGGCAAGAGATAAAACCCAAGCTTGGAGCTGCCTGGCCTTCAGCTGGAGCTGGTTCTCAGCTTGCTGTTTATTTAGATGAGGTATTTGTCTACTAAAAGTATAGTTTTGCGTGTTGTGAACATTTTTTCTTTTCTAGATTTTCTTGTACGGTGGCTATTTCAAAGAGCCTGCCCCTGACAAAGATCAATCCGACAAAGGTGTAGTGCTCGCAGATATGTGGACGTTAGATCCACGGATTGGGAGTGGGACAAGGTTTGCTTGTTTTACATTCTCGTTTGGAGTTTTAGTTTTTCAATGTGTTTTGTGAAGGTGAAAAAATCCGGTTTGGCTCCTGGCCAAGAGCAGGATTATTGTCCACATCTTGTTTGGTGGTGTAGTTGATGCTGACGAGTACGGTTTCAATGCATGCGTTGGAAAAACTAATGTCTTTTGCAGGTGATTCCCTGCACAGCGTTTTTATGATCGAGATGTATATGCTTTCCAGATGGTTTGTATCTCGTCGATTTTTTTAAAATTATCTAAACACCATCGCTCGCAGGTATCCTTTGGAGCTTCTCAAGCCAAAGAGCCTAAAGATTAAGGTATGGCAATCTGAGATTGTGTAGTGGTTAAGTGTGCATCCAAAGCAGAAGAAAGTGGCTGATCCAAATGTGGAAAATGCGTCTCAACGTTGAGCGTTCTGCTTGAAGGTTGTTGCCTGGTGGAAGAATGAATGCTGGAATGGTCGTTGGAAAGGATACTTTGTTTCTGTATGGAGGTATGAAAGAAGTCGGCAAAAAAAAAGTGATACGACGACCTTTCCTCGCTGGACCTTCGATGTGTGGAAGTGCATTATTGAGGTTAGTATGATCGAGCCATCACCCAGCCTCATACTAATGTCTCAAGCAGGAAACACAAAGCGCGTGGATTGAAGCTAGTAAGGAGAAAGGCGAAACTGATGGTGACAACAGTGATGCTGGATCGATTAATAAAGGAAAAGACGAAGAGGACGATGACGAGGTAGTAAAAAAGAAGGATGTAAGAAAACTTGTCGGTTTCCTTTTGTATTCTAGGATGCAGTGGAGTCACTGTGAAGAGGCAGCTGCTATTCTTAGGGGCGAAGGCAAAAAGCTGACACAGAAAGCACGGAAATTAAAGATCGATCCGAGCTGGGCCTGGCTGATTCCCAACAAACACTTTTAGTGAGTGCTGATAGTAGTTCATCTTCCTGTTTTGTTATTGATTTGTCTTTCAGCCTGGAGAAACGCTGAGAGATTTTTTCTCTTGGACGATCATGTATTGGCAAATGGCACCTTACGATCACACCCAACACACTGGAAAGGTGACAACGCAGGTTTTCTTTCGCTCGTTCTTCATGCTCTTTGCATCTATCAGGAGCTCAGGAAGGATGGATTTGACTTGGCAAAGACACGCTACAGACAACTTAAACCCATCCTTGACAAGGTAAAGTGGTGTCTCAAGAAGGAATCCTCACAACAGCATTGTTTGATTTGCAGCTCGTGAGACTTGAAGCCGACCACAACGCCGAAGAGGAGGCTACCAAACCTTCCAAAGAGCGCAGCAAGAAGAAACGATAAGGTCCGTGATCTCTGAAAGTTCTAGCTGAAAATTAAATGAATAGATTACAGTTATTCCCAAAGGTATGGTGACTGCTTTCCTTTTCTAGAGGCAATGCCATTGCCATGAAACCACTAGTATACAATCTCTGCGTCGCATCATCAATGGTGATAGAAGGTTAATTAATAACCACGATCCGAATGCATGAAATGGATATCCTGCTCTTACCCAGGATAAAGTTTGATTGCTCGCAGAGTGTATGGGCCTGATAAAGTTTATATTTCCATGATTGCTCGCAGAGTGTATGGGCCTGAGATATCCATGGCTTGCTTTCAGTTGCCTTTCGTAAAGTGCAGAGTGAACACTCTCTCTACGCGGTCCATAAACTTTACTACCTGGAGTGCATTGGAGCAATGAAATTCCATCAGCAAGACCCTCAAAGGAAAATTTCTTCACACCTTGTCCGACGTTGCAAAATGCGAGTTTTCGACCATCTTGAGATAACTGCCAGACTCCAGTCACCTGAAAATTTAAAAAACCTTTTTAGAAGTCTGCAGTAATTTTCCATTTTCCATAAGTACCTTGTCATATTTCTTGCGGATCCTGACGAATGCCATCATGTTCAAGGAGCTGCCAAGTAAGTTTTCAACACTTTGAGAACATGGATCAATCGTATAGAGGTCATTCACCTGAAGTTTCTTAGGAGTCGAAGCCCACGATAAAATTCGACAAAGGCCGTCTGGAGCATCTTGGCTGCTCGCTGAACCTTTCCTTTGTTGCCGGGCTCCCCTTCAAGCTCTGAGATTCGTCATCTACAACATGGCAGAGATCAAACGATTCCAAGTTAAGTGCCACAGAATTAGAGGCTGCTAGAACGAACCTTGCATAGGGATGAGCTCTTCCATTTGGATGTGAAGTTGCCGTGCTTGAGCATCGTACTCGTCTTCCTTGCATCTAAAAAACTTGTCCACTTTGTTGAGCTGATCGTCAAGGCCGAAAAAGAAGCTCTTTTCGTGATCCGATCGAGTTCCAAACAGCTCTGTCTCGTAAAAATCCTCGCCATCTCCAATTCTCGTCTTGTGCACAACCTGATCATATTGAAGTGTTTTAGACCATCATCACAGACCATGGACGTTTCCGAGGATATGGATTGTTCGCAGCAGCTGCTCAGGATGGCGCTGGGATTTTGCAGCAAGTTTTCAAGCTTGCTCTTGTCAACCGAGAAGACATTTGGATCGAACACCTTGTGCTGCTGGTTCTTGGTATGTAGGATCTGGGTTTTGATTCTCTTGACAACTTTCTTGAGCTGCTTGTAGTCGCAGTACTTCACCCGCCACTCTGGGACGAGCTGGCCCTCCAGCTGCTTCTGGAACTTCACCATGTCTGAAAGCTTGGATTACCTGAGGCGAACATCGTCAAGAAAACGATCAAGCAAGAGATGAAATACCTGGAGGAAATGGTGTCAAGTTCAGAATGCCTCTTCAAACTTTTCTGGCGCCTGTGCTCTGGAAGCAGAGGAAGAACAGTGGCAGTGAGCATATGACGAGACAAATGGTGGCGTGGAATCATCAAATGCATTGTGCTGGGGAGGAGCACCACCAATTCTCACAAGAAAACAGCGCCTTAAGATCATCTCTGGAAAAAAGGGGGAAAGCCTTCGTTTCTCACCGAGGCCAGCGAACAATTACATAAGAACACGTTTTCCCGAGTGAAACTGACGCAGCAGAGTGCAAGAGGAGAGAAGAAGCAAGCGATCCATTGGCCTATGGAACTAAAAATGGAAGCAAAAGGACAGGGAATGCAGGGGAATCTACATGAAAAGAAGCTGCCGTAAGTTACACAGTTACACACACTCTCACACACTTCAACTCTTTTCTTGTCAACACGAGTAATTTATGCGAGCGAAAGGGAATGAAAGAATCATTTGAGCATCTAAAGCATGGAAGGAAGCGAGGCACGTACTCTTTCTGGAAATCACGCTTATGGAGCGTTTTGTTTCGTCAGAGTCCCGATTGCTGGCGCAACCAAACTGAAAGAATCGCAAGCTCAGAACTACGAAAGCAAAGAAAAAACTTACTCTTGAAAGGGGACGAAGAGGAGAAGAATAACCGAAGGAGCCAAGCTTGGAATCGAGAGAGCTTGTCGAGTTCTCGAGGTGAGAGCCCTTTGCTCACTCAAAAACTTGGAGCCTTCTCTCCTTCTGCGAGAGGAAGAGGGAGCGGGGGGAGTTTGCAATGAAGGTGGTGGTCGCATTTTATACTCTGGTTGGCCGACTAGAGACACACAAGACATGGAAGAATAGTGGTGTGATAATTGCCCGACTATCATCAAAGGGGGGTATAAGGGTGAGAACTTTGCTTTGAATCACTGGATATGCAGCTCGGGATATGCTGAGAGAAGTCCGCCATACCACGCAGAAAGAAAGAGAACGAAAATAAATGCATTTTAGCTTATCTTCCATTCGCAATGCTCCACCTTCTTAGTGGCCCGATTATACTTTTCCTTTTCCTTGCCAGATTCTGCACAATTCTTCGGTAAGAAAGCCAAAACTTCTGGCTGTAAAGCATTTCACGTACCAGTCTGTGGGTTTTTAACATTGATCCGCATCGTTTTATTGACGACGTGGACCCCAACCCGCCGGGTTTTTTCTCCTTCCATTTGCTGTTCATCGAAAGCTTGCTGAGACACGCGATTTAAATCCAGAATACAAACCTCTCCGTTGCTACTGATGAGTTTGATCCCTGTCGTTCCGACCTGAGTGTGCTTGATTCTCGCTTTTGATCCTGATGTCACCCTGTTCTACAGCAACCACCATGAATGGATGAGTATAAATGTGTAAACATACCCTCGTTTTCCTTCACCATATATCAATCTCAGTAAACCTGGAATTTGTATGCCACTGCACACACAGCAGCATCCACTAAATTAGATTCCAGAGCTGAGAACTTTAACACGCTTACCTGGACGATGACTCGTCCCTGCTTATTTTTTCGCCTATCGTTGGCTGTGCCTCCTACATTAGGAGCAAAGGTCTTCCCGCATAACCATCAAGCCACGTTTCGTGGATTCGTAATGCACTCGCATAAGGCATGCCATCCTGTAAGAGAAGCAAAGCTGAATAACTCCACCAAGACAAAGCGATAAGAACGCCACCTCATATTGAAACACACGGCGGTTGTCAAGCGATAATTCAGCTCTTCGTCTGGAATGCACCAGCAATAAAATAATGCATATGACTCAGAAAGAAGAACTTAACGTACCCGTTCGCTGCCACTTATCAAACTTGACAACCCAAGTAACGTCCCCAACCTTCGTCGCACGAATTCGATCAACCCACATACAGAAGTTCTTTCCCCTGTAAATACCGTGGAGGGGACGTAGAATCTCAACGCTTCTACGAAGATCGTCTTCTAGTCCCAGCGTTGAGTCAGGGGCCTGCCAGCCATTTCGTTGCTCAACCATCAAAAACTACTAAACACGAGGAACTTACCATTGGCCTTTTCAAGTGTTCAAACACCTCGTGGGAGCTTTCAACCTCGCCTCGTAACCATCTCACACAGTAGCACCACTCCACGTCCGATCAACCCTTCGGTGTCCCCAGCAGTGAGCTGGCTCAGTAAGTCGGCATCCCTGGGCGAAACACAAGGATCAAACTTGAACTCTCGGATAGCTTGTGAGATTCCCGAAGCGCATCTTTCAGTGCCACGAAAGATCTTGGGATTGTCTTTGGCATTATCAAGGTACCACTGCGTAAGATCTTCAAACGCATTCCCGACCTGAGATCGTCAGTGAGTGAGTGAGTGATCAATCGACTTCAAGAACTTAAGATCACTCCAGAAACGTCTTTGACGGCAAAGAGCTCAGAATCGTTGCCGGAATCACCACACACAAGAACTTTCTGAGGAGCTCTGCCTTCCCTCATGAGCTGTCCCTTGTCAGCTGCTCAAGGATTAGATCACAAAAGCTTCGAACGATCCTCTAAAAACTTGCCTCACACTCGATCAATCTCTTCAACAGCCTCCGCCTTCTTCAGCTTGAAGCTGACTTTGTGAGGTCGCTGTGCTTGCTCTCCGACCTCTTCCTGGAAGAGCAATCCAAGGCAGCCTCATACTAATGTCTCAAGGGTTATCCTCATCACAATCACCTGGCTATGGTGGTGGTGGTGGTGGCTCTGCTGCTGCTGCTGCTGCCCGATCAAATTCCCCGAGCACTGCCCTCCTGGTTGAGCACCGAGATCCACGTCCCGCTCTCCTTGGCAGTCATCTTGTCTTGCAAGCACTTGGACTGCCTCACGAGCTTCCTGATCTTCCCGATATCCGGGGACATGTGTCGGATCACCGCAGTGACAACTCCAACCTTCCACACCTTCTTGAGATCATGGGGCTTCTTATACGGCGGCGGCCCCTGCCCCTTTGGAAGCCCAAGCTCGGGCCACCACTCCTCGTCGCCGCTCGGCCACCACGGCGGCGCCACCCCTTTCTCCAGCGGGTACCTCCGCTGGGGTGGATCGCAGTGCTGCATTGCGTGGTGTCCTGGAGCTCCTGGAAAGTGTGTGGCGTCGGGGCGGCGGCGGAGAGCTGGCCAGCGCCGCCGCCGGATCTGGAGCAGATGCCCTCGTACTTGGCCATGGCGGCGGGGCCGTTCCGATCGAAGCGGACCTTCTCCTTCCATCACGCGGTTGTTGTTGCTGGCGCCGCTCACTGGCTTGCCCTTCTCGGGGATGATGCCATAGACGAATCCTTGGGCTTTGCAGACCTCCATCATCTTGAGCGTGTACTTGAGGATCCCGTCCTGGGCTCGCAACATCTTCCGCCGGGCTTGCTCCTGGAGATTGCCCAGATTCTGGTGCTGCGCTGCTGGGCCGCCGTGATGCTGCTGCTGCTGCTGCTGCCCATGGCTGTGATTCGAGTGATTCGAGGAGAATGCGTTGTTGACCCTGGCCTTTTGCTTGTCCTTGATCCGCTTGAGCCGCAGCCGATCGTTCCAAATCCTCTTCTCCAGCTCGTCCACGTCCATGTCGTCGTCGCTGAAATCCTCGTGATCCTGGACGACCGCCTCGCCCAGGCCTCATCGTTGTCTCCCACAAGATCCACGTCCAGGCCATAGCAGAGGTCCGGGTCGCCGCCGTGGAGCTCCATCTTGCGGATCGATCGGAGTGGAAATATTTCGAGCAAGCGCTTCCGAGAGGAGGGAATATTTCGGAGCGATTACCTCCAATTCGCCATGGAAAGCCGAGGATCGAATGGGAAAAGCGAGGAAGATCACGGGAAGCAGAGAGAAAGAAGGAAAAAGCTCGATTCAACGCGAGCCCCTTGTGTGATTACCTAGCTCCATCGATGCCCCGTCGACGCGCGCTCGATCGCGCCCGTGACACAGTGGCGCAGCGCCTTCAAATTCGACACATTGCCCGGGCAAGCGTCATAATCCCAATGCCGCCACCGCTGCGAGGCGCTGCCAACACGATCAACGAGAATCGATGCCCTAGCGCATCAAGATCCCCGCTTTGCTCGGCGAGAGAGAGAAGAGCAAAGGCGCAGCGCCCCTCGCCATAGCCAACTACTAGCTAATAGCTATCCATCCAAATGCCGTACAATTCCCCCAGGTCGGGTTTCTGACATGGAAGTCCACTGGCTTTTTGACACGTGGCACAGCTACATCTGGATATACAATCCAGCCACCGTGGACGCCCTTTTCAGCCCTTCGGGCTTGCTATCTGCCTCAAATTTAGCTATAACCGGTTTGTTGCCAGATTTAGCAGCTCCCCGAATTTAAGTTTGTCGGAATCCAGTTTGGGTCATAAAATGGACCACTGGGGGACGCCGGGCTCGAACCCGGACCAGCGGATGCCGCGCCGCGCCGGACTCGAGCCACGGACCGGCGGTCTCGTCGCCGGACTCGAACCTGCCACCGTACGCTCTACGCCTCCACCGCTACCATACGCCTCTCTCTAGTTTATTATACGCCTCCAATCCTTGGTAGTGCTTCCTCATGATCACCTCTATGTGACAACCAACCCCGCGTAGAGTACGCGGGGTACGACGTTTGAAACTCCATTCATTGGGCTTTGTTAAAGAGAATAAAAGAGAGAACGCCACTGTAGCAAAACCTAGAAATCAAAAACTAAGGGGATGACAATGCTAGTAGTTCTTCTTTTTTACATCGTGCCATTATTGGTTTGACTCTATAGCTTAGATGCCGGTGCCTTAACCCTAGCGAATAATAGAATATTCGCTGCCGGAGAATATTCCGGAATCGGCCCATGGTCCACCAGTGACAAGAGGTTTTGGGCCCCCCCCCTAAAATGCTTATTTTTATTGTTCGCTGGGAGTCCATGTTCCCTCTTTAGCTCCCCATGTGTGGCCTTTGTTTTTGTTGCCAGCCAAAGAAACACACAGAAAGTTTGAAGGAGAGAGAGAGCGCAAAAATCTGAGAGGAGAGAGAAATGGCACCGGCTTTGATTGACTTTGCCGCGCTCCACTTCTTTGATCCCTCCATCTCCATCTCGTCCTTTTTCTTTTTCTACTTGGACTCGGACGATTCGATCCATGTCATGTTTCGCTCGAAGTCGATGGATCACTGCCCGATCACTCCACCACTTCTTGTCGACTGGAAAAGTCTTTAAATTCCTCTCGCTGATGCGATCAGCACGGCATTAGCCTGAGATCAAGGCCGCGGATCATCCAGCAAAGTCTAAGCTTTTTGCCAAGGATGTGACAAGCTAACGTGTTGTCCAGAGCGCTTACAGGTTCCATTGTTTTTTCCATGACAATTCTTTTTCCTCCGGCGACCGGCACGAAAGTCGTCCGAAGCAACCCAAACTGGAAACAAGATACATGCCCAGTTTCTCGGACAGATTTCCTCAAGCCCGGCAGCACACGGAAGACGAAGAAATTCGTTAAAAAATCCACGAGCAAGGAGAGAGAGAGAGAGAGAGACATAAAGAACTTTGCCAAGCCCAAAGTCGTTGATGTTAAGCTAGGCCATGCTTGAAGCGCGTGATGATGATCATGAAAGTTCCTGTCGAGATGCTCGGTGGATTCTCCGTGTCTCCAGCTAGAGACTTATCGATCAATCCACAGTGTGCGGCAGCCGTCGTTTCGCTCGATCGCTCCCTCGTTTGCAAAAGCTCGGACTTGACGATCCTTCTCTTTCTGCCATGGATTCCTCCATGAAGAGACCACCGAGCCAAGTTGCGAGAGTGAGGTTAAGCTGTAGTGATCTTACGGACATCCTCTTTTTGGATTGCTTCCTTTTTTACTCCGCGTATCGTATCGACACTGTTGTAGAAGAAACAAACGAGTTTTGGAGGTAGCAACTTCCCTTCCATTTGATTGATACATGAAGAACAAGATATCGCTTGCAAGTGGAAGATCACACGGGAGATGTTTGGAGTCAAACTGGAACTTTCGTGATTGTTACGAGCACCTCCCCTGAATCCAGCACCACACTATCTATCTGGTAATGTTTCAAAACGAGTAAACTAATCAGTGTTTGTTGGGAATGAATGTTTGTGCTGCTTGGCCACTTGCACTGCGGCAGCAGAGGAGGATGTTTTGCGGCAACTATACCCGACTAAATCGAAGTACTTTAATTGCAATTTGCAAGATCACAAGTACTAGTTCTGAAGAAAAACAGCAAGATGTGCTTATAATCAAAGCATTCTTGCAATGCAAGTGGAAATTCACTATGTTTACCTAGGCTTTCCAAGGATGCTTCATCTGAATTGTATAGTGTCACCCTGCCATATGAAAAAGACAAGAGAAAAATTCTTACTCACTAGAGTTTGGCAATTTTACTTTAGCTACTACAATTTTTCCATTGTTGATACTCACTGTAGCTTCATTCAACTCCACACTTTTTTACTTGATTAGAGATGTAAAGTTTTGTCTCATGTTCTAGAATTTTGTCTATAGTTACAAAACCACAAGTTTATCCATAAATGCATTAATATTACTATAAACAATTAAAGAGAATAACTTGAAAGATGATCAATAGGGTTCAAATATAGAAGGAAAGTGCTTATGAATAAAAATATATCTTATTTTCCAAGTGCATTCATTTTTTCAATTGGTTAAAGGTCTTGGGATATTTAGGGTTAAGTGTCTCTCCGGGAATTTCAAATTTAAGAGTTTATAATTATTTCAATGCAAAGGTATAATTTCAACTTATCTCTCTTCCTTTCAGTTTATTTTCTTTGCTTTTCAATATGTAGTGAGTGAAATGCTTTCACTCGTAAGTTTTTCATAGGTGAGTGAATAAAACTTGATTAACTCTTATAACCTACTTTTCCAAAGTTACATTTAAGATGGCCAAATGAGCAGTGTGATGTGCTCTTACAACCAAGTAAATAGTTTCTTAACTTGTGCTAATCAAAGTTTGCTCACAAATATAATACAAAATAGGTGGAGATGCAATAAATTTATTCATTTCTCTCCTCGAGAAAAATCATTCTTTTACTTTTTATTAAATATATAGTTTTTACTCCCTTAGCCAAAGATGCAGTTGTTGATTTCATATTATAGGTAAAAATTTGATAATTAGAATTGTTGCAGGTTTCAATATTAATTTTGGGACCAACTTCTAAAGTTTTAGCAAGATTATTTTAAATTAATAAATTCAAAACTTTTTCTTGACAATCATGAGAAATCAACACTTCAAATTAGAAATATCACCAAGGTTAACTTTAACCATATAATATCCAATCTCATTACAACCAAAATGTGGCTTAGATTATTCAATGGCAATCCAAACACTTAACTATATTCATCGCTTGTAGATGCAATGATAATTATCAACAATTTGCTTTAGATATTGCTTTCCAAGGAATTGTTCTCCTAAAAAATAATGGCTTACTACTTTTATTCACAATCTTGAAAATTGTGGCTCTTATAGGAAACAATGTAAATACAACATACATGATACTTGGAAACTACAAATATGAAAGATAAATTTTTTCTCAAAACTCTTTAGATATTATTTATGGTTTTTTTGGAGAAATGTTATACAAGTATGTATCACCTTTGCAAAACATGCAAATCTACAATAATAACATCCTCTATTTATAATATTTATTTCGAGAATGTAGTTTCAACTCATCTCCAACATTTCATATGCAACCACTTATTCTATTATTCTTGTGATCACTACTTTTTGTTGATATCTTGGCTTTCAAGGACAACTTATGAATCTCAAGTGTTATTTGGTTTAGATATTCTAGTTAGTCCAAAGGTGCTATTCTCACTCTTATTACTTTTGGACCATAAAATCCAAGTATTCCATCTCTTGCTTTTTTTTCTTTGGAATACAAATATTGAATCTAAAATTAAGTGGTCATTTGGTAAATACTTAGTACCACAAGGCATCCATAAATGTTTCCATGTTAGATATGAAAATGAAATACAATCCATTGTTGATATTTAAGGAGAAGGTATCAATTTTACACAAGGTTACTAACAACTTTGGTGATATAGTAAACAACCTCTTACGAGTGAGATTTGGAGAGT